CGCAAAGGAACCCAAGATGGAAGCTTTGCGGTTCAACCTACTTGATTGCGCAGATTCAGTTCTATCCAGCTCGAAATTGTACTGTTTTCTTGGTTGACTATAGTGTAGCAGGGCAGGCACTATAGAGGTACAATTTAGGTGAAGGTTGGATGTTGTTTGTCTGTATCTGCTTGCTACAAGGCCAGGGGAAACCAGCGGAACCAGCATTTGGCTGGTTGGGCAAAGACAAAACAGGTTCTGTTTTTAAGACCTGAACCTGGTTGTTGTTTTCCCAGGTTGGAAAAACAGAACCAGAGATTGTTTACCAACCTACAACCTGCTATTTAGTCCAGCCAGGTTGGTTCTGTTGCTTGGAGTTATTTGGGATCATCCCTGGTTGTTCCCAGGTTGATTCCCAAGGTCCTTGTTAGCTAAAGCTATTTATTCCTTCTCTGTTTGTACCTGAATATCGTAAAATTGATTCAAGCGAATTCCTTCCTTGCTGGAATTTCCTTTCTACGCGGTGCGACGGCGGAATGCTACCCGAGTCAACGCTAGTACGCTAGCACTCCAACGCTAGGCAAACGCTGTCCGAACCATAACTTCGTAATGGCAGAAGGTTCATTTTAAAGCTCTTGGAGCGAGGTTCAATATAGGAAATTCTCAGCTTAATCCGATCGATGTCTGCACGATACGCTGCGCGACGTTCAAGGTACTCTTGCTGTTTTGACTAAGTCCCTCTTGATCCCTCTCTCTACAAACTCGGACCCGAGAATAGGGGCTGGTCTTGTACCAGGCACCCAAGGACCCTTGGAGGTGACCCCGAGGAGAGGTTTTAAGTGTGATAAAGTCTTAATAGCTTGAGTTTATTAGGCCCTTACACCAACACGCTGGTATCAGAGCTGCGTTATAGTGATCCTCGTTATAGGTAGCTATGGCGGGCAACACCTCGGCGGTAGCTGGTGAATCTTCAGCCCAAGATCGTAGCGGCAGCCAAGATTCTGGTGTTTCTGCGCCAAGGGGAGCGCGAACAAGCCAGGGCTCGCTGATCAAGGAGGTGTTGAAAAACTTCACCGTCGAGAAGTTCAATGTTGAGGGCTATGATGATTGGGCCTGGAAAATGCAACTTTATTTCCGTCGGATCAGTTTGCTGAAACTAATGATTGGGGAGGAGCCTAGACCGGGTGACCCCGCCCTTCAGGAAGATTGGGACGAGCGCGCCTCGGCTGGCTACTACTTGATGTCGCAGAGTTTGGAGCTGAACCAGCGTCACCACGTCATGCACCTGCTGCTAGAGGTTGAGTGCGGTCCGAAGGCGTGGACGGTGTTGAAGGAGCTGCACGCCCCTACCTCCGTCTCTGCGACGCTCATGATGGAGAGGGAGCTGTCCGCGTTGCGCCTAAGCGAGGGAGAGCCGGTGCAAGATGTGTGATCTCTACGCGAAGCTGGCGAACGCGGGAATCACCTACCCGGAGCAGACCAAGTGCCTGAAGATGCTCTCGCTGCTGCCGAAATCGTTGCTTCAATTCACGAGCGGACTGAGCCTGCCGCAGAACCAGAGCTTATGGACGCTCTAGTGTGTGCGGACGAAGATTCTGGAGGAGGACTTCCGTCGCCGCCAACTGAGGGGTGGAGATGATGGCAGCAGCGGCTACGGGATGCAAGGGAGCCGACGTGACAAAGGACGTGGCTTCGGTGGTGCTGGATGCGGTGCAAAGAAAGACGACGACTCCAACGACCAACAAGGAGGTACCGGTTAGGGTCGTGGTGCGAAATCTGGATGTGGGGGCAAGTCGGGTGCTGGTGGCAAAATGAAAGGGAGTTGCTGGTATTGTAAGAAGGAAGGGCACCCCTGGTTTTTGTGCTATAAGAAACCCGATGGATGGACCCCCCACAATCGTCACTAGGATGGCGGCGCGCGGAGGAACCAGAAAAACGGCGCGAGCATGGTCGCTGATTCGTCCGACAACAACCCGAAGGGCAACGGCGGTGCGGAGAAGAAGAAGGAGCGCACAGCGGGCTAATTCTTCCATATGGGTGACAAGGGGGAGCAAGGAGATGCATCTGCTAAGGTTGGAGCAGAGCTGCACCCCCTGGACTATTGGGTGTTCGACACGGGCGCTGCTTAGACGATGACGCCGCGAAAAGACCTACTGGACCACGTACGAGCTGCACCGATCAACGATGTGTGCTCCGCCTCTTGACACGCGTTGAAGGTGGCTGGTGCGGGACGAGCTGCGTTTAAGGGAGCGGATGGCAAGCCGGTGGTGCTGCACGACGTTCTCCTCGTCCCCGACCTGAAAGCCAACCTTATCTCCCTCCGTAAGCTTGGCAAGGCTGGGGTGAACACCAACACGGATGGGGCTCGCACGGATGCTTTGAGATCTGCACGAGAGCAAGGACGTGTACAGATCTATGTGGCAGCTGCCGGCGCTGGCGTGGCACGGTGGGGGGCAGGCTGGAGAGGGGTCTGCATCCTAGGGGGAGTGCAATGCCGTTGGAGGGGTTGGTGTGAAAGTGTCGGCCAGATCTGGGGAGACGGATTGGGCAACTGCACACCGACGTTTGGGGCATGTGGCAATGCCTTTGCTGAAGCAGCTGGAGAAGGATGGAGCCGTTAAGGGCTTGAAGCTGAACGGACAACCACCCGATGATAACTGTGAAATTTGCCTCCTTTCAAAGTTCACCCGTTTCCCCTTCCATAGTGTGGCTAGCAGGAGCAAAAAGCCATTGGAGCTGGTCCATATGGACTTGGTGGGGCCGCTGCCGGTGCAAGGGCACAAGGGGGAGCGGTACTTCAAGTGCAAGAACCTTGGGGAGGTAAAGTACTACCTTGGGATGCACGTGGAGAGGGATCTGGATCACAAGTGGTTGAAGCTGCACCAGGAGAAGTTCATCAAGGAGCTGGGGGAGAAGTACGGGATTGAGAATGAGCGCAAGGTTGCAACTCTACTGCCAGCAGAATTCAAGCTTGTGAAAGCTGCAGAGGATGAAGGGGTTGAAACTGAGGAGCAGCATAAATTTCAGTCCTTGGTAGGCAGCCTCTTGTATGCAGCAGTTCACACGAGGGCTGACATCTCTTTCTCGGTTGGGCAGCTGGCTAGGGTGGTGCAGAATCCATCAGAGGAGTAGGTGGATGCAGCTGAGCGTGTAGTGAAGTATCTAAACTCTCACCCAAGCATTGGAGTTCAATACTCCGTATCTGCACAGGTGAATCAGAAAGGGGTTGATGTGCTGAAAGAGAAGGGGGAGAGGCTTGGAGAACGCAAGCTCTTTCTCACTTGCTTTACCGATGCTACGTGGGCCTCTGAGAAGGAGGATTCCTCATCTGTGGGAGGATAGATCTGTGTAGTTGGGGGAGGACCTGTTAGTTGGAGGTCAAAGAAGCAGATGGAGACATCACTCTCTTCCGTGGAGTCAGAGTACATGGCAATGTTTCATGGGGTGAAGGAGGTGATTTGGCTGAGGAGGCTGTTAGAGGAGATTGGTCAGGAGCAGAAGGTTGCTAAGCTACTGTTGTGTGATAGCAAGGGGGCTCTTGGGATGGCCAGGAACGCTGTGCTTCATGGGCTGAACAAGCACATGCGTATCAAGTGGCACTGGCTGCGTAAGGAGGTGAAGAGGGGGACGGTGAATCCGATCTACATCAAGACTCATCACCAGCCAGCAGACTTTCTCACCAAGAGGCTCGCCGATGAGCCTCATTGGCGTTGTGTGCGCATGAGTGGAATGAGCATGAACTAGCATGGAATGATGGGGATGCAGCCGGCAGGCTGAGGGGGAGTCTGTTGGATGCAAATTCACATTGCACGACATCTTGCTGTCTGTTTGTACGAGTATTCGTGTGCGAATGCATTTGCGTGTGAATGGTATGTTCGTGTGTTTGTTTGCTTTCACATTTTTCGCTTGAAGCATTTGCAGGTACTTACGCATTGTTCGCTTCGGCATAACATTATATGCGCTATGAACAGTACAAGCAGAAAGGACGAGCTCGCAAAGGAACCCAACATGGAAGCTTTGCGGTTCGGCTTACTTGATTGCGCAGATTCAGTTCTATCGAACTCGAAATTGTACTGTTTTGTTTCGTTGACTATAGTGTAGCAGGGCAGGCACTATAGAGGTACAATTTAGGTGAAGGTTCGATGTTGTTTGTCTGTATCTGCAGGCTACAGGGCTAGGGGAAACCAGCAGAACCAGCATTTGGCTTGTTGGGCAAAGACAAAACAGGTTCTGTTTTTAGGACCTGAACCTGGTTGTTGTTTTCCCAGGTTGGAAAAACAGAACCAGAGATTGCTTACCAACCTATCACCTGCTGTTTTGTCCAGCCAGGTTGGTTCTGTTGCTTGGAGTTATTTGGGATCATCCCTGGTTGTTCCCAGGTTTATTCCTAAGGTCCTTGCTAGCTAGAGCTATTTATTCCTTCTCTGTTTGTACCTGAATATAGTGAAATTGATTCAAGCGAATTCGTTCCTTGCTGGAATTTCGTTTCTACGCGGTGCGACGGCGGAATGCTACCCGAGTCAACGCTAGTACGCTAGCACTCCAACGCTAGGCAAACGCTGTCCGAGCCATAACTTCGTAATGGTACAACTTTTCGCAAGGCAAGTTGGTTCATTTTAAAGCTCTTGGAGCGAGCTTCGATATAGGAAATTCTCAGCTTAATCCGATCGATGGTCTGCACGATACGCTGCGCGACGTTCAAGGTACTCTTGCTGTTTTGACTAAGTCCCTCTTGATCCCTCTCTCTTCAAACTCAGACCCGAGGATAGGGGCTGGTCTTGTACCAGGCACCCAAGGACCTTTGGAGGTGACCCCGAAGAGAGGTTTTAAGTGTGATAAAGTCTTAATAGTTTGAGTTTATTAGGCCCTTACACCAACACACATGAAGTATGGGCTCTTGCCCCCTAACTCTTGCTGCCCATCCGGTTCTTAACCCAGTTGGCATATTGCACTGCTGCCCCCCACCAAGTATGGTCCAACTGCGCATGAGCAAGCATGGCTCGGGCAAGGTCAATGAGGGTCTATTTTAGCCGCTCTGCTGCCCCATTTTGGTGCGGCGTGTAGGCAACTGAAAGCTGGTGGGTGATGCACTTGTCTTCAAGGAAAGACTCCAGATCCTTCCCCATGTACTCCCCACCCCAATCAGACCCAAGTGTTTTCACCTTGGCCTCGGCTTCCCTCTCCGCATAGCGTAGGCAACGCTTGAACACCTTGGCCACTTTATCATTGGTTTTCACCAATGTGACCCAACTGAGGCGGCTGTAGTCATCCAAAAAGGTGATGAAGTAGCTGCTGCCCTTCTCTCTGTCAGGAGTTTGAATGGGGCCACACACATCCGTGTTCACCAACTCAAGAGGTGCGGTGGCCCGAGAGGAGGAGGTTGGAAAGGAGGTCATTTGCAGCTTCGCGGCAGTGCAATCAGGGCACTTGCTTCGCTGCCCACCACCCTCCTTAATCTCCACACCTTTCAGTCCCCCCTTCTTCACACACTCCACAAGCTGTTGCTTCCCCGCATGCCCCATGCGTAGGTGCAGCAAATCCGCCGTCACCTGCTCCATGTCCTTCCAACAGGTGCTACAAGCGGCTTTCTCCGCTTCAACACCATGTGCCTTCTCCACCTGAGGCACACAAACTGGAACAAGGTATAGACCTTTCTCTAACTTGGCCTCCATCACCACAGCTCCGCCCTTGCGAACCGTGCCACCTTCCATGGTGAAGGTGCATATGTATTCTTGCTTCGCAAGCTGAGAGCATGAGAGAAGGTTGGCTGCCAATTCAGGAACATGAAGCACACCCTTCACATTCATCACCTCCCCCTCCTTCCCCTTGACGGTGATGGTGCCGATGCCGATTGCTTGTAGCGCATCTCCACTCCCCACAATCACATTTCTGGAGTTAGGTGGGGGGGAGTGATAGGTGGTGAAGAGGTCGCGCCGAGGTACCATTCCACAGGTTGCTCCAGAGTCCAGAATGAGCTGATTGGGATCAGCAAACGTACGACCAGCAATCGCCGTCTCTATCTCCAATGATAAGAAGGAGAATCCATCATCCGATGAGTCCTCCTTTCCCTTCTTGTCCTCGTTTGCCGCCGCTGCGGCCACTTTCTCTTTGCTGCCCTTCTTATTCCATGCTCCATTCTTCATCCTCCTCTCCACCCACTCAGGCCTAGTGACAGGTGGAGCCTCTCCTGAGTACCCTTGAGGCTTCCACCCATCTGGTCGGCTCCAACACTCCTTCCAAGAGTACTTCCGGTTGCATCCAGGGACGAGGCACTTGTCGAGATTCTTCTTCTTCCCCCCACCTCCTTGCTGCTGCTAGTATTTCTTGGAGGCAGCCCTATCCCCTGCCCCCATTCCCCCTTCAACTCCTCTACCAGCATCCCGTTTGCAAGCCTCATCAGAGACCAACACCTCCCATATCCAGGCCTTGGTCCATTTCTGTTGCTCAAGGTGAAGGTACTGCAGCAGGGCCTTGTTCGCCTCTTGGTCCAGCCCCTGGAGTGCGGTGTAGATGATCTCCTTCTCATCTAGAGTATAGTTCAACTCCTCTAAGGCTCTCACATACTTATCCACCCTCTGGAGATACTGCACCATGGTCTCCCCATCACCATAGTTGCGTTCCTTGGTGTAAAACCGCTTCCTTCATGTGAGTGTGCTTAGCAGTCCCTTTTGCAAATGGCGATCTTGAACTCTCTTCCATGCTTGGGCAGCTGCTCCTTGCTTCCCCTTCAGGTCAATCAGCATCTTTAGGAGCTATAGTTGGCCTTCCAAAGCCCAACACAGGTACTGGAACGCTTGCTTGTCCTTGCGGTCCCATGCTTCCTGTGCCTTGATAAGCTCCTCCGCACTAAGCCGTTGCCTTCCGGTTCGCGGTGCTGCTGATCCATCTCCACTTCCCTCAGTTATGGATGAGCTAGAGGCTCCCCCAGCCCCTTCTCCCACTTGGCTAGAGACTCCAGTAAATGCCTTTCCTTCATCAGATTTAGTTCTTCGCTCCGATCCCTCCAAAACGCCCTCTAGGTCTTTAATACCTAGCCAGAGCATAAACAGGAACCGCCAGAGCGAAAAATCCGAGCCGGTGAACCTAGGAGGGCCATCTAATTTCTGGGCCACAACCAACCCTAGATCTGGAGGTTCTTAAGCCAATTCCAAATGTGCTTATAGGAGGGAATGTTGCAGGCCTAACTAGCTCTGATACCACTGATGGAAAGCGCGCGAATCTGGAAAGCGTAACAAGAGATTAAGTCTGCCGACTTCGGGGAACCATTGCGTGCAGCTCACGTAACCTAAAACCATGACCAGGTACGCGTTCGAAAGGTCTTAATCTCTAATTTCCAGAATAGTAAAGCACGCCTTCAACCAAGATCTAGGCCGATCTCTATCGCAATTTAAGTGCGACGGGGTATCCTGGCGGAATTACTTGGCAGCCATGGATTAGATCTAGGAATGGCTTAAGCAAGAGTTCAGATCTGAAAAGTGAAGAGTTGTTCAAACCCTACCAACCCAACCCTCGCCCTACAACAATGCCCAAGAACCCAAAGTGCTAACTAGCAACACCAAATGTGTTGTAGTGAATAGCAAATGTTTGTTGGTGCTTGTTGGGTGCGAGATCAATTCCAACCCGCAACAAGTCTAACCAGCACATTTTGCCCAAACCCTTAGCCCACAACCAGCTAGAGCAAAATACCACAACCACCTACACAATCAACAGAAGTCTACATCAAGTGGAAAAGCATATAATTGCACAAGACAAGGGCGGCGAGCGCCAGAGAATGGGGGCACGTCGCCACGGACGAGGCAAGGGCGCTCAGCAGTTTCTTTGTCGACGAGAGGGATATGACGTGGACGGAGGGCTTCTTCTCGATCTGGGAGGATCTGAGATCACGCTTCAAACCGCCATAAAAGAGGATATGGGGGATTAACTGCTAGTTTCGTTACTAGTTAAGTCCTCCATCGAAACAGTTACGAGTGTGGTTGTACACTTATATATAGTGTACTTCCAACAAAAAAAGAAGGGAAAATAATCTTTTGTTAGAGAACACCTACCCGCCACAGTACACTGCATTCGTAAAAATGTTAACCGCGGACCTCTTGATATTTGGGTGCGAGGTTTACGAAACATAATGAATAGCGTGCAACGGGAGTACTAGAACCGTGAACAAAGTGTAACTGTCAGAGGGCATGGGTGCACCATAAATCCTTGTCATAGAGAGCGGCTGCATTGGAGTATGCGTGTCACATCCAGCCATTGGTCAAGAATGGTAAAAACGATAGTCCCGTTGTAAAGGGCCTCGAATACATAGCACAATAGTTGCGGATGCATACACGCAATACAGTATAGCGCATTATAGACGATAGTGTAGCCAGATCAGACTGCTTTCGATAGGGTTTCACGTTGGTAGGGTGGAGAGGGGTTAGGAGATAGGTGCAGGTTACCACCGGCTGGTAACATTATCACCTACACGAGCCTACTGGCGAGGGGTAACCGTAGTGATTGGCGGGGCGACAACAACCGCTGGCCCGGGCGACATGTCCTCCAGGCCATCCTCCAAGAAGAGGATCAAGCCGTCATGACGAAAGCTCCAGCTGCGCATTTCCGCGTCCCAAAACGGGCCATGCTGGGCTGTGCGACGCAAAATCTGGTGGCGAATCCAGAGCCGCAATCGCTCGTGGTACCAGCAAACTCCTTCATCCTGCTGAGCGCTGCGAGTGAGAGTGCTCCCAGTTACAATTGGCATCTCCACCTACATCACGAGGAAAGATGCAAACTTAGTTAAGTATCAAATGCGCCAAGTGCAACAATGAGCCTGCCCTACTGCTTAGTACCCACGCCGAAAAGCCAGAACGCAAGAATATAGGTCTTGACAACCAGCGCTGGCGGGATAAAACGACGGAAAGATGCGCAGAAAGCGCGCTCAAAGATCTCGATAAAAAACGGCATTCCCGCCGGATCGCGGTGCCAGGTTATCAGCTCCTATGACCCTCGGCCTGGGTGCAAATACAAGGAACGAGCATTAGGCCTTAGGCTGCACAAGGGTATGAGTCAAAATGTTGTTCGGGAGTCATGGGGTAAAACTGTTGGATGCAAATTCACATTGCACGACATCCTGCCGTCTGTTTGTACGAGTATGCGTGTGCGAATGCATTTGCGTGTGAATGGTATGTTTGTGTGTTTGTTTGCTTTCGCAATTTTCGCTTGAAGCATTTGCAGGTACTCGCACAATGTGCGCTTCGGCATAACATTGTACGCGCTATGAACAGTACAAGCAGAAAGGACGAGCTCGCAAAGGAACCCAAGATGGAAGCTTTGCGGTTCAACTTACTTGATTGCGCAGATTCAGTTCTATCCAACTCGAAATTGTACTGTTTTGTTTGGTTGACTATAGTGTAGCAGGGCAGGCACTATAGGGGTACAATTTAGGTGAAGGTTGGATGTTGTTTGTCTGTATCTGCATGCTACAGGGCCAGGGGAAACCAGCGGAACCAGCATTTGGCTGGTTGGGCAAAGACAAAACAGGTTCTGTTTTTAGGACCTGAACCTGGTTGTTGTTTTCCCAGGTTGGAAAAACAGAACCAGAGGTTATTCACCAACCTATCACCTGCTATTTTGTCCAGCCAGGTTGGTTCTGTTGCTTGGAATTATTTGGGATCATCCCTGGTTGTTCCCAGGTTGATTCCCAAGGTCCTTGCTAGCTAGAGCTATTTATTCCTTCTCTGTTTGTACCTGAATATAGTGAAATTGATTCAAGCGAATTCCTTCCTTGCTGGAATTTCTTGTCTACGCGGTGCGACGGCGGAATGCTACCCGAGTCAACGCTAGTACGCTAGCACTCCAACGCTAGGCTAACGCTGTCCGAGCCATAACTTCGTAATGGCAGAACTTTTCGCGAGGCAACTTGGCTTATTTTAAAGCTCTTAGAGTGAGCTTCGATATAGGAAATTCTCAGCTTAATCCGATCGACGGTCTGCACGATACGCTGCGCGACGTTCAAGGTACTCTTGCTGTTTTGACTAAGTCCCTCTTGATCCCTCTCTCTACAAACTCGGACCCGAGGATAGGGGCTGGTCTTGTACCAGGCACCCAAGGACCCTTGGAGGTGACCCCGAGGAGAGGTTTTAAGTGTGATAAAGTCTTAATAGCTTGAGTTTATTAGGCCCTTACACCAACAAGCTGGTATCAGAGCTGCGTTATAGTGATCCTCGATATAGGTAGCTATGGCGGGCAACACCTCGGTGGTAGCTGGTGAATCTTCAGCCCAAGATCGTAGCGGCAGCCATGATTCTGGTGTTTCTGCGCCAAGGGGAGCGCGAACAAGCCAGGGCTCGCTGATCAAGGAGGTGCTGAAAAACTTCACCGTCGAGAAGTTCAATGGTGAGGGCTATGATGATTGGGCCTGGAAAATGCAACTTTATTTCCGTCAAATCGGATTGCTGAAACTAATGATTGGGGAGGAGCCTAGACCGAGTGACCCCGCCCTTCAGGAAGATTGGGACGAGCGCGCCTCGGCTGGCTACTACTTGATGTCGCAGAGTTTGGAGCTGAACCAGCGTCACCACGTCATGCACCTGCTGCCGGAGGTTGAGTGCGGTCCGAAGGCGTGGACGGTGTTGAAGGAGCTGCACGCCCCGACCTCCGTTGTTGCAACATTGATGCTGGAGAGGGAGCTGTCCGCGTTGCGCCTGAGCGAGGGAGAGCCGGTGCAACCTGTCCTGGACAAATTGCGCGACCTCTACGCGAAGTTGGCGACCGCAGGAATCACCTACCCGGAGCAAACAAAGTGCTTGAAGATGCTCTCGCTGCTGCCGGAATCGTGGCTTCAATTTACGAGCGGATTGAGCCTGCCGCAGAACCAGAGCTTGTGGACGCTCGAGTGGGTGCGGACGAAGATTCTGGAGGAGGACTTCCGTCGCCGCCAACTGAGGGGTGGAGACGACGGCAGCAGCGGCTACGGGATGCAAGGGAGCCGACGTGGCAAAGGACGTGGCTTCGGTGGTGCTGGACGCGGTGCAAAGAAAGACGACGACTCCAACGACCAACAAGGAGGTACCGGTTGGGGTCGCGGTGCAAAATCTGGACGTGGGGGCAAGTCGGGTGCTGGTGGCAAAATGAAAGGGAGTTGCTGGTATTGTGAGAAGGAAGGGCACCCCTGGTTTTTGTGCTATAAGAAACCCGATGGATGGACCCCCCAGAATCGTCACCAGGATGGCGGCGCGCGGAGGAACCAGAAAAACGGTGCCAACATGATCGCTGATTCGTCCGACAACAACCCAAAGGGCAACGGCGGTGCGGAGAAGAAGAAGGAGCGCACCGCGGGCCAATTCTTCCATATGGGAGACAAGGGGGAGCAAGGAGACGCCTCTGCTAAGGCTGGAGCGGAGCTGCACCCCCTGGACTATTGGGTGTTGGACACAGGCGCTGCTTGGACAATGACGCCGCGCAAGGACCTGCTGGACGACGTACGCGCTGCACCGATTAATGAGGTGTGCTCTGCCTCTGGACACATGTTGAAGGTGGCTGGTGCGGGACGAGCTGCATTTAAGGGAGCGGATGGCAAGCCGGTGGTGCTGCACGACGTTCGCCTCGTCCCCGACCT